GGGTTTGGGGTCTTCATTTTCACCTGAAGGTTGCATGGAATCCTGTCTTTGTTTCCTGTCTGCTTTCAAGAAAGCCCAGTCAAGAGGTGGCATTTCATCAAGGATTGTCAATTTAGTGAGAATAATAGATGTAATACTTTAATAAAGTTTAGGAAAAACTGGAAAATTATGACAAAACTTCATTTAGCAACCAAAACCTTTGACACCCTCACTTGTCACTAAATATTATGTTTTGTTTTTTCTTGCACCACAGAAAACCCACCTTCCTTTTCTAGGGGTACCATTTTTTCTTTTTTCTTTTTTGTTCTATATACCTGTATTGTCATGCCAGATGCAAATTTTCCATATCTCTCCCAGGTTGTCATCTGTCTCCACCTGAAATTGGTCCAGGCTGCCTCGCTGAAAAGCTCCATCCCTCTGCAGATGGTGTGAACCGCTCTTGCTCACACCATAGAGACTGATGCCAACATGTGCTCTGGTGCCTAATAGAGGATACCACAGTAAAAAAATCTTTTTTTCCACATTAGATAATTTAATACCATGAAAATAGAGTTATTTACAAAATCCTTGGAACATTTTTACATTTATAAGTGGTTGCTATTGGCTGACCTGCTCCAGGTCTTAAGCCCGTTTTCACCAGAACTYTGTAGTGGTACAGTCCTGGACGACYACATAGAGGRACCTGGCTCAGCCTCAGGCTGTCCAAGTGGTCCAGTTTGTGTGCAACAAGCCCCAGAAGCAGGTGAAGCACAACCAGGATAGTACACACAATCCCCACTACCATGTTCTGCGGGGGCTCATTTGCCTGCAGATAAATAGAAGACACAGATGACTACATCCTAACTCAACATTAGGAAAGTTAAGTTGGTAACATATAAGAATAGTTCTTCAAAACAAGCAAAAAATAATATAAAAAAAAGTTCCTGCTAACTATTTGTGTTCTGACATACCGGTGGCAACAGAACAACAGCCCCAGGATGAAGAAACATACTGGCCCCAAACATGGTGAGGTGCTGGGTTAAACAAAGTGCCTTGTGTAGTGTACTGCCCTCCAGTGACCGAAGACCCTCACTGCTCCAACGCCCGTCTTTCACATTGTAGTACTGACACAGAGAGCTGAAGATACACACTGAAACTCGGACAGAACAGCTGTTGTTCAGAGATGAGGCCAGGCTGACGGAAAGAAGTTGATCTGTTCCATTCAACCTGTTAAACATTTAAAACACACACACACACACACACACACACACACACACACACACACACACACACACACNCACACACACACACACACACACACACACACACACACACACACACATTTCATAGGAATCAATCTGAGCATCAAGTTTTAGCAAGAAGTTTTGTAACTCACAGTGGAGACAGAAAAATGGTTTCCTCTGAGGAGGTCTCAGCAGAGAATGCGAGAGCCCTCTCTCTCACAAGGCAGTCCTGAGATGCATTAGTTGCTGGGATCACTTTTATCTTGACATGTCCCATAGTCACTGGAGTAGTTCCTAGAAATGTATAATTSAGAATGAAAACTGCTTTTCAAATTCATAATTGAAGCAAAAAACCCATATATATGCAGTAGTGGGAATAAATACATTTTTGAGTGTGTGCTGCATGACTCACTAAAGTAATATACTTGAGAAAACCCTGAAATATGGGTAATTGTTCAACACGTACACTATGACATTCATCAAGAAAATATTGCTTTATTGGAAATGGCAAAGGGAATTGAGGAACATGACAGCTATTTAAATTGGGATCGTAATACAAAAAACTGCTGTTTTAATTCATGAAGTCATATCAGTGACTTCATGAAGTCATATCAGTGACTTCATGAAGTCATATCAGTGACTTCAGATTACAAAATCTGATTTTTGATTGTCTGGTTTAGTGTCTGTTGATTATGAGAAAATGAAAAATGGGAAATTACTAAGCCTGCCTACATGTATTCTTTTTCTATTACTATTCAAAATTTTACATCTTGTAAATTCATATTTGTTTGTCCTTTTTCTTACTAAATGAAATGGTGAAACAGAATTGTAGGCAGGGTCTGCTGAAGTCTGTTTTCCCTTCATGTTTGATTAGTGGAAAMCTCCACTGATACTGTAAAATCCAATAGCTATCCTGACTTACAAACAGCAGTTATCATTACTTGGATATCAACAATTTGAACTCATGACTTGTATTTATTAAGTAACAGTTGCATTGTGAAAAACGCAAAAATAATTAAATAAAATAAAAAAAAATACTCAGAAAGTGTTTTGAGTGAACATTACTTAATTTAGAGTTAAGCTCACTAGCAATAACACATGGCCAACATCACTCCTACTGCACAGTCAAAAAAGAAGTGTGAATGTGCATTTCAGTYTCTCCATTCCAGAACGCACCAGAACAATATTTTAGTCTTAATAATGTTTAAATATAAGAACAAAGTTAGCAGAAACATGAAATGAAAGCTTTTTTTCTATCCTTCTTCCGCAGACACCAGAGTTTTAGCTCCACCTCTTTGCTGCTGAACTGGATAATTTTCTGAAAACTCACCTCTGAAAWCAACACAAAACACTTTTGTCTGTGATTCATAACCCATTTTGAGTTGTGTTCACTAATGCTGTCACATTACACATTCAGGTTTTATTTGACATTTGTGTTGTAGTTTTCGTTACTGACTGTAGCTGACAACATGAGTCAGAGGTCTGTGTCACAGATGCAGAGGCAAAATGACCAAGACATGTTAGTGTGTTTAAAGAGAAATCCCCCTTGCTTATAAAAGGTGTTGTCTATAATGATGGATGTTAATGTGATGAAGTCTCTTAGCTGTAGAGTTGCAAAAGGAAGTTTAACTTAGAAATACTAACTGATCTCAACTTTGGGAAGAATGTTCAATGGACCAAACAAAGTAAAGTTCACATGCAATGATTAAGTAAATTAAAACAATAATTCTGAGTAATCTTTACTAAGTCAAGTACAACTAAGGCAATTTATCAAGTACATGCTACTCATGGGTGTAATTTGCAG